TTTAAGATTAGATTAAAAAATTTTCATATAAATATAAAAAGTAAAAAAATAACTATTGCAAAAATAGCATCAAATAGAAAAAGATAAAAAATTTCCATTCCAATAGAAAAAAGATATAAATTAAGAAAAATGTAATTACTAATTACAAACTAGATAAAAGTTTAACAAAAATTACACCTATTGTCATTACTTAATTTAAAACTTTTATCTATCAAAATGCTTTAAAGATCAAAATATTTATAAAATTACTATGAAGTCAAACTCATTTTTAGAGAATTAAAGGAAGAAAAGAGAGAGAAACAAAATGGATAGAGTTGACTCTATACCTTCTTTATACTACTTAAAATTTTATTCTTCATATATATAATATATTTGAACAAGATGAGGATTAAAGGTACTCACGAGGTAAATAATAATTGAGCCAATTTAGAGCTCTTTCCAAAACTTTGTAAACTCGGTTAACTCGGTTCTCTGCATGAAGTAAACAAAATTAGCCAAAACCTTTTGCAACTAAAAAAAGATACGACCAAGAAATGAAAAGGCATATATATGCACAATTGGAACTCAAATCAAAAGAATTTGTTTCTAAAGTACCATGATATATACGATGAGAAAAATTAGCACAATGGTTTTCCTCATTGATGTAGTAGTAAAAATGCAAATCGCTGCTGTTTCCACATGAAGCATGCCTCCACGACAACTCAATTCCATATGCTAACCAATGGTGGATGTCCAGGTAGGAGAGGTTCTCGTAATTCTTCTTCCGTATGATAGGTGTAAGTGCCATTAGCTCAATACGGCATGAGGGTTTTAACTCAAGTGGAGTTGTCCTTCCAACTTTCACATAATAATACCTTTGGCCTTCGGATTTAGGCCTATAAGGTGTGGAGAAAGAGCTGTCATTAATGCAGGCAGGAGCTTCCACATAAAGAGGATCACTTACAAGATTACCGCAACTTATGAAAAGAATTCTCTCCCAAAAAGGAACATAATGTGCATTAGACAAATAATTACGATAATAATAAGAATGAGAATCATAAAAATAATAATAATCTTGTGAAAACGTTGAGAAGTTGGAGGCGTTCCAAGAATATTGAGGTATGGAGCAGCTCCCTTCCTCAAAACTAGCATCAGCTACTCGAATTGTTTGATTGTCATAATTGATTGCTTTCACGTAGAATTTTCCTGATTGATCAGAGTGCAATACTGTAAGGTTGTTCTCACAGAATAGAGTATATACTGGATCTGCAGTCATTCCACAGTAATTAGGCGGATCTGTGTTTAATCTGAAAGGGTAGCTAATATTCAAAATATTTCCACAAGAAGAAGGTGGACAGTAATGTTTATCTTTGGCACTGCAGGTTTCATGAATTAAGGCCAGAAGAAGAAGAAGAAGAAGAAGAGCGGCAAAGATGAGGCCTGGTCTAGGCATGGAGAGGGGCAAAAGGTGTCGATAACTTTCAGGTCTTTGAACAGAGTCTTGTGGTTTGCAGGAGAATTACAATAACTTTTTGGTCTTAAGACAACCACAAACGCACTCCACCTCCACAATTTTTTTTTTATTAATT